AAGATGGTTGGTATGATTTCGATCTTGGTGTATCTGTTGATGTTTGTCTTGTGCCCCAGTATTTGATCAATCCTGGAGAATGATCCTTGTGCGCTTGAGAAAAATGTGTACTCCGTTTTTTTGGGGTTCAGTGTTCTATAGATGTTGTTAAGCCCAAATGATCTAGGTCTTTATTTAGACCTTTAGTTTCTTTGCTTATTTTTTGTCTTGTTGATCTATCCATTGTTGATAGTGGTGTGTTGAAGTCTCCCACTACATATGTGTTTTCTCTGATGTCTGTTTTCAGAGATGAAAACAGTTGTCTGATATATTTTGGTGCTCCTTTTGTTTGGTGAGTATATGTTAATGAGTGTTATTTCTTCTTGAAATATTGTCCCCTTGATCATAATGTAGTGACCATTGGGGTCTCTTTTTATTTTTTTGAGTTTGAAATCTGTTTTATCTGATATAAGTATAGCTGTTCCTGCTTTCTTTTTTGGTCCATTTGCTTGTAGGATTGTTTTCCATCCTTTAACTTTGAGTCTATTTTTATCTTTTGTAGCTAAATGTGTTTCCTGGAGACAGCAAAAGGTTGGGTTTTGTTTCTTAATCCAGGCTGCAACTCTGTGTCTTTTTATTGAAGAGTTTAGTCCATTTACATTTAGAGTTAATATTGATATGTTAGCATCTGTATTTGCCATTGTGTTTGTCTTTCCTTTGATTTTATTTATTTATTTATTATTTATTCTTTTAATGACTTTTTTTTTGGCCTTCTTTCGTTGTTATTCGTCCCTCTGAGGTTCTGGCTTTAGGATTCCTTGTAGTATTTTTTGGAGTGGGGGTTTAGTCGTAATGAAATTCCAAAGTTTCTGTTTGTCTGGGAAGGTCCTTATTCTTTCTTCATAGAGGAAGGAGAGCCTTGCGGGATAGAGTATTCTTGGTTGGCATCTGTTTTCTTCGAGTCTGTTGACTATGTCCCTCCACTCTCTCCTTGCCCATAGTGTTTCTTCAGAGAAGTCTGATGTCAGTCTGATTGGTTTTCCTTTGAATGTTATCTGTTTCTTCCCTCATGTCAGCTTCATTATTTTTTCCTTGTCCTGGATTCTTGAGAGCTTTACTATTATGTGTCTTGCTGTATTTTTCCTTTCGTCATGGAAGTTTGGTGTTCTTCTTGCTTCTTGTATATCAATTTTCAGCTCCTTCTTCACATTTGGGAAGTTCTCTTCAATTATCTCTTTGAATATTTTCTCTGTTCCTACATCTCTCTCCTCTCCTTCTGTTATTCCTATAACTCTTATATTTCCTTTCCTCATGGAGTCAGATAGTTCCCGAAGTCTTTCTTCGTTCTTTTTCCTTCGTACTTCTCTTTCCTTTTCTGCTTTGGTTCTTTTTATTTCTGTGTCTTCAAGAGTACTTATTCGTTCTTCCATTTCATCTATTCTGCTTTCATTGCTTTTCCCAGAGTTCTTTAGTTCCTCCATTAATTCTTTGATCTCCTGCGTTTCTTTTGCTTCCCTCTTTAGGGACTCAATTTCATTCTTCTGACCATTGTTTTCCCTCTTTAGGGACTCAGTTTCCTTCTTCTGATCGTTGTTTTCCTTTATGAGTTCTGCCTTTTTTTTAATCACGGCAATTTTAAATTCTCTTTCTGAAAGGCTCAGAAGTTCTTCCAAGTTACTGTCATTGCAATCTGGGGGGTGGTTTTCTTTTTGTGGTGTGCTTTTTTCCTAAGGAGTTATTAGGTTGCGTGTGGTTCTTCTACTCCCTACTGTCTGTTTTCTAATTTGTCGTATGCATTGGGACAGTGTGTTGCTGGGACTGGCCGGCATCTTGGGTGAGCTTCTCCGCTCCCCTCTGGCTCCTCCAGGAGCCATCTGTCTGTTTCAAGCAGTCTTTACTGAAGAAAGGTCCCTGTTCTAAAATGCCGATGTGGGGACACACTCCCCTGTGCGCTTGGTCTGCCCCGGCGGTGGGTTCCCGCTCCCCCTCTGGGTTTGGACTGCAGGCCAGAAGGGGCCTGGGTGGGCGAGCTTCCCTGCTCACCTCTGTCTCCTGAGGGAGCCTTCTGCAGGCAGTCTTTACTGAAGAAATGTCCCTGTACTAAAATGGCGATGCGGGACGCACTCCCTGCGCGTCGGGTCTCAGGCACACTCTTCTGCGCGCCCCGTCTGCCCCAGCTGTGGGTGCCCCCTCCCCCTGTGGGCTCAGACTGCTGGTCTGAAGGGGGCTGGGGTGGTCTAACTTCCCAGCTGGACACGGGCTCCTCCAGGAGCCTTCTGCTCAATAGTATTTTTTAATTCCGTTACTATGTTTGTGTTTCTTAGCTCCATTATTTATAACTATAGCTGCCTTTTATTTATTTTATCTTCTCTCTATTACTATTTTATATCCTCTGTTAATTTTTCACATTTGATCAGCATTGTTAAAACTGTTAACTTGGAGTTCCCTTCACTGATGTCCTCTAGTTCTGTAAAATTAGACTCTTCTCATGGATTTTTTTGCTACATTTGTAGTATGTTCTTCTGTCTTCTCATTTTTAATTTTTATACATTGGGTTTGGGATAGACTTTGAGGCTGTTGTCTTTGCATCTGTTGAAGTACCTGAGAACTGATATTGGCAAGGAGTAGTTGGTATAAAAGAGGACTGTGGTAGCAGGGCACCAATGGTGAGCCTCCAGTAAATGTCAGGAATTCACACTTCCTCCTGTGCTGTAGGTACCAGAGTTGTATGGTGGGGATCCACAGTGATGCCCTCTTCTAGGCCAGCTCCTTGCTCTTAGGGTCTCTTATGTTCTCATGTCTATTTCCACTCTAGACTACTTTTGAGAACTAAGTGGAGTTCTGAGCCTGGATTGCAGTTGATATGGGGACACAGGTTGGCAATTGTTCTCTTTTCTAGCATGGAGCCTTAAGCTGGGGTACTTGTTCCTATTATTAACAGGTGACTGAACTCTTGTTAATTTGTTATTTTGATTTTACCTTTTATATTTAATTGTTTCCCTTTTTTTAAGCACCCAAAACTGGGTAGAGTTGCCTCCTCTGTGAGGAGACACAGGTGCTCTGACTGGTCTCTCTCTGCCATTCAACCAGTGGTTCTGTATTGAAAGCCTCAGGCTAAAACCAATAATCCTCACTCTGTACCCCCACCACTCTGTCTTGGTGCAACTCACATACCCTCTAATCCATTGTAGGGGCCTCTGGAGTGCCAAGTTTTGGTGAGTGTCTGAGTAAATATCTGTAGGCTCTCAGGTCAGCAGTCACCTCTTCCTCTTGCAGGTTGTATTGCCCCAGAATCACTATAAATGCACTTCATGTAAAGTTTTTCCTATCCTTTTCCACTGGACTGCTGCTTCTCATATGTGCTGTGGCATCTTTTTTTTTTTTTTTTTTGCCAGGGATTTGGGCTCTTTCCTACTGAAATCCAGTTGTGAGTATTTGGAGGATGCCAGGCTGGCATCTTCACTCTGCTGCCATCATGCTGAACTCCCCCAAACTATTTTGAGTATAGGGTCTCTGTGTACCTGTCTTCAACAAAAATTGTAGATGGCTTGATGGCAGGGCAGTGTTATTGTAATGTCCTTCATGATGCAGTTTTATCCTTTCCACATAGAAGGTTTTCAAAAAAGTCATCCTAATTGACAGGTAACTAGGCCAAGTGAGGAACTATTACTTGACCTGAAATCTTTGCTTTTATTAGTATTTCCTATTTGTGTCATGCAATATATACTAAATTATTCATCTTATTGCTTATTTTTTAATCTTGTACTGAAAATTGCATTTCTTATTCCTCATGTTAAATCTCTTTCAGAAAAATATTTTTGTGATGGATTCTCTTTGTTTACCTTTCTTCATACACACAACCTCAGTTCCTAATTTCACTTTTCCTCTTATATCTCCCTCACACATTCTCTGCATTAGCAGAGCTTTCTTCATATGCATAGGACACACATCTCTAAATTAAGTTTCTTTCATTGTGTTTCAGGGTAAACAGCTCTCATGTAATTAACCAAAAGACTCCCATCACTGGAAAAGAAGCCAGAATGTCTAATAACTAAAATATACAAAATAGAACAATCATTAGTTTCCTATAATCTTTATTTTAAAGATAATTGTTTATTTGCTTAATTGGTTCTGCATGAAATATTTTTGCTCTCTTTCCTTGGCATGTTGTCACTTCAAGATTTTTAGGTTTTGGTAGTAGAAAAAGGGGAACAATTAAATATGAAAGGTGAAATAATATAACCACAAGGGACAGCTGGAGTTTGTCTGATGTGACAATTTCCTTTTTCTGCTACAGATTTGTTGCACCTCTGTAGGGAATGAAGCAAATTAGTGGCTGTGATAGGAATATTCTATTTTATAAGAATCTTATCCTTAGAATGTAATTATTTCATTGATTGTAGGCATGAATAATGCATATAACTTTGGTACTGACCTAGGTATAGAAGACTTCATAATATCTTTTCTTGATGTCCATTTGGTTCTCAAAGAATGTGCTATTCATTGTGCTACTTCTCAGGGCCTTTGGACTTGATTAATTGAATTTTTCCACTTCACTATTCATTAACTTGATATCCAAATATTTTGAACATTCTTCATATGAAAGATGACCTCAGTGGGTCTCCAAATTAACTTTCATTATTGTAATCCTGTTCTCTTCATTTTTAATTTATTTCTAATTTATTGTTTTCTATCAAGTTCTTCTCTTGTCCATTTTGGTTATTGTAGATGATGATGTCCACTTTAAATGGACTTTTATTAGGTTTCAGACTTGTCATTTGGAGCTTCATTTCTCTGGGCTCTTGTATATGTAACTGATTGCAATCTTTGATCATTTGCTGTTAGTTTCCCATGTTCACTAATTGTGTGAAAAAGCTAAGAAAGGCCTAGATATGTGAAAAAGAAGCAAAGACAGACCCAGAGAAGAGAGAATAACAGAGTCAAAGTTCTCATTAAAGTGAAATGGGTTAAGAATCAGGGATTCTATTTCCATTCTGATAGTGGAGATTTTCTTTTCTCAGAGTATGAAGAAGATTTTGAAGTAGATGAGGAGAAACAAGATGAGAAAGCTAATGAAGAAGGACAGTCTGATGATCAAATGAATGGAATGTCAAAGTCACCCTCAGATGATGAAAACGATAATTTAGACCTTGCAAAGGAGAGTGAAACCTTGTCACAGAAGGCACCAGATGCTGATGACAATGCGAAAGATGAGTGCGATGGATGCTCTGATAGTGAATTGGAAGAGGATAAACAAGGCAAGTTGTTTAGCTTGTCATACAACATAGGCTTTTTATAAATATGTTTACTATTTGTCTTTTCCTTATATTTAATGAGATAATCCTCTTTTAAGGGAATGTTTGGAGCAAGAGATCCTCTTTCTAGAAACTATTGTTCAATCAATCTTCTGTAGATATCCAAATTATGGAGTCACTTCTTAATCTTTTCTCTTTCCTAGGTTTGCTGGGATTTTTTTCACCAAGGTGTCAGGCAAAACTTACAGTGACACACCTATTGTTTGCTTAGAAAGTTACTAATATTTTTAATCTCAGATTATCCCCTTTTACCCAAAATGGTACATATATCATTTTATAACCTTGGAAAAAGGAAAACTAGCTCCTACTAAATTAAAAGAAAATTTGGAGATTCTTATCTGAGGTTTATTTGAAAAAAACAAACACACACACACACCAAACTCACCTTAAACACAGGATGCTAACATATCAGTTTCATGGAAAGATTATCTTTTTTGGAAAAGGTGGTGTCCTCATAATCTTCAAGCCTAAAATTGTTCGATATGTTAACAGGGAGAATACAGAGTTTCTCGAATTAGTGCCTATCCTTCACAAACTCTTCAAAAAAATTGAGAAGGAAGGGATAATACCAAACATGTTCTATGAAGCCAACATTACACTAATACCAAAACCGAACAAGGACAACACAAAAAAAGAAAACTACCGGCCAACCTCGCTAATGAAGAGTGATGCAAAAATCCTCAATAAAATTTTAGCTACCAGTATCCAACAATGTATCCATAAGATAATTCACCATGACCAAATAGGATTCATTCCAGGGACACAAGGATGGTTCAACATCCAAAAATCAATCAATGTTATCCAATACATCAACAAAAAGAAATATAAAAACCATATGATAATATCAATAGATGCTGAGAAAGCTTTCGACAAGGCAACGCCCATTCGTGATAAAAGCCCTTGAAATTCTTGGGATACAAGGAACATACCTCAACATCATAAAGGCCATCTATGAGAAGCCAACAGCCAGTATCATTCTCAATGGTGAAAATCTGAAAGCAATTCCATTAAGATCTGGAACAAGACAAGGATGTCCACTGTCACTACTGCTTTTCAATATAATACTGGAAGTCCTAGCCAGAGCAATAAGACAAGAGAAAGACATACAAGGAATCCAAATAGGAAAAGAAGAAGTCAAACTATCACTATTTGCAGATGATATGATAATATACATAGAGAACCCCCAAAATTCCACAGAAAACTAATTCAACTCATCAATCAGTTCAGTAAAGTAGTAGGATACAAAATCAACACGCAAAAGTCAGTAGCCTACCTATACACAAACAATAAATATGAAGAAGAAGAAATCAAAAAAACATCCCTTTTATTATTGAAACAAAAAAAATCAAATACTTGGGAATAAATCTAACAAAAGAGGTAAAGGACCTATACAAAGAAAACTATAAAACACTGTTAAAAGAAATAGAAGAAGACACAAAGAAATGGAAAGACATCCCCTGCTCATGGATTGGAAGAATAAACATTATTAAAATGGCCATCCTACCAAAAGCAATATACAGATTCAATGCTATTCCAATAAAAAATTCAATGTCATTCTTCAAAGAAATAGAACAATTATTGATGAAATTCATATGGAATCACCAAAAACCCAGAATAGCCAAAGCTCTCATGAAAAAAAAAAGAAGGGATTGGAGGCATCACACTCCCAGACTTCAAACTATACTACAAAGCCATAATCATCAAAACTGCATGGTACTGGAACACGAACAGACACACAGACCAATGGAATCCAATAGAAAATCCAGAAATAAACCCACAGATTTATGGTCAACTAACTTTGACAAAGGAGCAAAGACTATGCATTGAAGCAAAGAAAGTTTGTTCAATAAATGGTGCTGGGAAAACTGGGTTGCTACATGCAAAAGAATGAAGCTTGGCTACTACCTAACACAATGCACAAAAAACAACAACTCAAAATGGATTAAAGAACTAGACATAAGACCTGAAACCATAAAATACATAGAAGGAAATATAGGCGAAACACTACGGGATTTGCACATCAAAGACATCTTTACAGACACATCACCCAAAGCAGTGATAGTGAAGGCAAAGATAAACGGCTGGGATTACATCAGATTAAAGAGCTGCACAGCAAAAGAGACAATAACAAAAACAAAGAGAAACCCCACTGACCTGGAGAACATTTTTGCACACAACACTAACAATAAAGGACTGATCACAAAAATCTGCAAAGAGCTGATGAGAATCAACAAAAACAAAGAAAATAATCTGGTCAAAAAATGGGCAGAAGAGCTAAAAAGAAACTTCTCTAAAGAGGAAATGCAAATGGCCAACAGGCATATGAAAAATGTTCAACATCATTTGTAATCAGGGAAATGCAAATCCAAACTACAATGAGATACCATCTTACACCAATGAAAATGGCACATATTAAAAAAAACTAGCAACAATAAATGTTGGCGAGGTTGTGGAGAAAAAGGAACTCTCCTGCACTGTTGGTGGGAGTGCAAACTGGTCCAACCACTATGGAGAGCTGTGTGGAGATTTCTGGACCTACTAAACATAGAGCTTCCATATGATTCAGCAATTCCACTCCTAGGTATTTACCCAAAGGACACAGAAACATCAATTCCAAAGAACACCTGCAACCCTGTGTTTATAGCAGCACTGTTTACAATAGCTAAGCTTTGGAAACAACCCAAATGCCCAAAAATAGATGACTGGATCAAGAAGATGTGGTACATATACACCATGGAATATTACTCAGCATTAAAAAAGGATAAACACATGCAATTTGCAGCAACGTGGATGGAGCTGGAAGGGATCATGCTCAGCGTAATAAGCCAGAAAGAAAAAGAAAAATACCGGATGGTCTCACTCATAGCAGGAATCTAGAAAACTTAAATAAGTTACCAGGAAAAAGAATAACTATAAGAAAGAAAATATCAAAATGGACAAACAACTATGAACCAGAGACACTCTATGGGGGGTGAGGGCAGGGAAAGGAGGGTTTGGGGTCAAAATAAGGGGGTTGTAATTATATGGGGAATATAAAAATAAAATTTAAATTAAAAAAAAGAATAGAGTTTCTATAATCTGTGTAGAGTTTTTATATTCTATATAGAGAAAAAACAGCTCTCATCTCCTGAGGCATGTCTTCAATTTTTAAGATCTTTTAAAGATCACTTATTGGAAACCTGTTTTGTTGTAAAAATGGTTTGCCTGAGATGCAGTGATCTTCCCTGGTAAAACCTAGGCAATTATAAGGAATAAGAATAACCCTTCCTTATATTAAGTAGGTGGATGTCTTTTTAGTTTGCTTTTGACCAGAAAATGAGCCACATTATGATGACTCTTTGAATTGCTGTTAATTTTCCCAATTTTCACTTTCATTGAAAGAATTTTCTGTATAAAATCTAAAAATTTTAAGTTCAAGGAGTTTAGTAGGATAATGTAAGAGTAAATTAAGTAATCTTGGAATCACAAAGGCAATTATTTAGTTTATAGTTCTATTCTTTTAAAAAATGTATTCAAGCAAACGTATTCTAGAATTTCATACACTCATATATACAAATATAAAGTAAAACACAGACATTGTTTCAAGTAAAGGGTAATTTTACTAGGAACCACAGATGGGAGAGACTATGACTGTAGTTGAACAAAAAATTTAACTCTGTGTTTCCCAATAAAGTGAAGAGTGAAGCACAATGTGAAAAATTAAAGTGGAGTTAACTATCAGTCAATTTGAAAGCAAGATTTGTTGTTATTTTTATTATAGTTAAAACTACTACTCAAGATTAATGGTGAGGCATTAAAATATTTTTTGGGAAGTACTAAACTAGGCCTTAATAATAATGTTTTATGTTTCTAAACATGCCTAGTATATACATTCTTTTTTTTTTTAAAAAAAAGATTTGTTTGTTTATTCATTTATTTATTTATTTATACAAGCACTGGGTATAGTCAGAAGCTCGGGAGGGTGAGAGAATTCACCAGAGCCAGAGCGGGGAACAGAGCAGGCAGAACGACGAAATACACTGCTGAGGGGAGCAGCAGGCACGGCAGGAGAGGTCTGTGCTCCATGTGGGATCTTGACAGGGGTTGGGGATCGAACTGGCACTGCAGAGGCTGTGGGCAGCTTCGCAGCCCAGAGCTCAACCGCTATTCCACCAGGGGAGGCCCTACATTCTTTTCTCAATTTCAGTGTGAATATTAGATTTAAGTATATATATGATACAGAGAAAGGACAATAATTTAATGGAAAGTGATGTCTTCTGACTCTCTCATAAAACTTGAACCTGAAAAAAAATAGAAAGTGTTTGCATATAAAGTTGACTCAACAATAAAAAGGATTCAATTTGTTATTTCTTCTATAATGATGGGGATTTATCAGGTTGTTGATAGCATAAAGATTCAGTATATTTTTTCAATATACAGTAAGGTGCTGTGTAATCACCTTCCTTTTTGGGGATCAAATAGATTTTTTTCTAAGAGGGTAATTTTTTATGTTCAAACAGAGAAGGATGTAGTCAGTACTTGGATCTTCCTTAGAGGGAAAGCTTTAATCATTTAGACCTGTAATTATTGAATAACTGACAGTGATTGGTAAGCTTTAGCACTGAATACTGCCCACTTATAAACATCTGGAATCCTATGTTTGGAAAGACATCCTGTAAGTGTTCTTTATTAAGACTCTGTGTTAGTACTGTACTAAATATTTTACATGAATTATCCCATTTATATCAAACAAACTCAAAAAACAGGTACTTTTTCTTTTTATATCCATTTTTCAAATTACTTGGATTAGTGAGATTAAGTAAGTCACAGAACCAGAAAGTGGGGGAGCAAGATGCAAACACTGGGTTATGGAGAACAATGTAATATACCACTAGTTAAAAAACAAAACAAAACAAAACAAAAAAAAAAAACCAAAAATCAAAACTACTTATCTAAAATTAAAA